TAAATTAATTAGTGTATTCCAGTTGCTGTATATAATTATACTGACTTACTGTATGTACAGTACCACATGTTAATTATTGGTATTCAAATTTCAGCAAATTCATCATATACAGTGGACCCCCGCATACCGTTGGCATCACATACCGTTTTTTATTTTCCTCATACCCCTTCACTATAATCGCAAAAATTTTGCCTCGCATACCGCTCAAAAACCCGCTCACCGCTGTTCGTCTGAGACGCGTCCAATGTGCGCCTTAGCCAGCCTCACATGTTCCGCCGGTGGCATTGTTTACCAGCCAGCCTCCGCGGTAGCATCCAAGCATACAATCGTAACATTTCGTATTATTACAGTGTTTTTGGTGATTTTATCTGGAAAATAAGTGACCATGGGGGCCCAAGAAAGCTTCTAGTGCCAACCCTACAGCAATAAGGGTGAGAATTAGCTATAGAGATGAAGAAAAAGATCAGATAAGTATGAAAGTGGATGCTGTCTTCGAGCTGGCCTAGGTTGTTTATAATGAACCCCAATCAACCATCGCTACTATTGGTGGTACACAGCTGCTGCTGCTGCTGCTGCTGTAGCATCATCTGCTGCTGCTGTAGCCTCGTCTGCTTGCTGCTGCACTGTCAGCTGCTGTCTGCTGTAGCATCGTCTGCTGCTGCTTTAAGCATCGTCTGCTCCTGCTGAGCATCGTCTGGACTGCTGCTGAAGCCCGTTGTTGGTGGGCTTAATTGAGAAAGATACCAAGAAACAATTAAACCCCAGAGGATTTTGCCACCCAGGATAACCCAAAAAAGTTCAGTGTCATCGAAGACTGTCATTTTATTTCCATGGGTCCTTAATCTTGTCTCCCAGATGCAACCCACACCAGTCGACTAACACCCAGGTGAACAGGGAAAAATTCATGGCACACGTTGTCTCAACTTATGTATCCATAACAAGCCAGCACAGGTTTGTCTAGAGAGAATTTCCGAATCGTAGTGACAAACACGTGTGATACGGCCTAGTTATTTGTGAAGAAAATGCCAAAAGCAGACCTAAGAACGACAGGAGGACAAAACGCACTCCCAGACACAGTTGTCTCTCCATCAGACATAGCTGATACTTCAATAAAGGTAAGTGACATTTTTATTCTTCTCATTTAGTAGACTAGTACAGGCACAATATATACTGTGCATGTACTACTCTACTATTGTGCATGTATCCTCTTTGTGTGTAGGAAAATGTATATTTCATGTGGTAAAATTTTTTTTTTCATACTTTTGGGTGTCTTGCACGGATTAATTTGATTTCCATTATTTCTTATGGGGAAAATTCATTCGCATACCGATTATTTCGCATACCAATGAGCCCTCTTGCACGGATTAAAATCGGTATGCGGGGGTCCACTGTATTCATAGTGTGATAATTCTGAATGAATATATTGGATACTAGGTTGTGTTGTAATACACATTATGAAATACAGTGGTCCCTCAGTTATCGTTCATAATCCGTTCCTGGAAGTGGGACTAATGTCGAAATGGACGATTTACGAATCGATTTTCCCCATAAGAAATAATGTAAATTCAATAAATCCGTTCCTGACGCCCAGAAGTATCAAAAAAATTTTTTTTACATGAAATATAGATGTAGTACATAAACAATACAATGGCACATGATGAATTAAACATTAACAGAATAACACTTGCCTTTATTGGCGATTCTTCTTTGTGTATGGAAGACTAGAGAAGGAGACAGATTGGATGATTTACTGTTGAAATGGGGAATCCGTCGCCCCTTCCATCAACACCTCAGGTACCAATTACTTTTCTGGGGTTACTTCTCTTCTCTATTTTTTAATGCCACTATGAACCACCTTGAGAGTCACTGGAGTCCTGTCTCGCAAAAAACAGTCTAGAGAGCTCTGTTCTGGCGTCTCTTTAAAGCTTCCTAAAATGGCAAGCTCTGTCATGACAATTCCCGATATGGCTTGCAACACCCCTTCTTGGGTGAGGGTTTCCCAAAATCTTTCCACCCACCCCACATTCAAAAATCTCCTTAATTTTTGAAAAAGGGCACCTTTTTCCCATCTCTTTCCTCCTCCTCTGCAGCAAGATTCCCTGCGACTGTTCCCTTTTCCTGCTGAATCTTGCACTCCCGTGGTTAGCTCTTAGTTGGGGCCCCCCCAAATCTTCCCCATCCCCCCCAAACCCAAAATCCAACCCCGGAACTCCCCGGGCAACAAAAGTTTAAACTGACATAGTCTCAGGGGCTGCCTAAAACCCCTTTAAAAATCCCTCTTGGGGCACAATCTGGCACAATTTTCTCCAAGCAGAGTTCTAAGTCCTGGTAGTCACTCCCCCCCAACCCTTTCCCTAAAAGGGTTTACGCAATGGAAATATGAATTTTTTTTCCAAAAAATCTTGTGGGGTTTAAGTGAGGTCTGAGGTCCATTCAAGCACCTTTCAACATTGCTTTGGTGTAATTTTTTTAAAGTTTGAAATGCTTGCGGGTCCATGGGCTGGAGGAGAGGGTTGTATTGGGGGGAAAGAACTTTACTGTGAAAACCCCAAATCCTTCAAAAAGGGTCACCCAAGTTTGGGGGATGAAGGGGTATTGTCCTTTATAGGGGGCATTTGAGACCCAATTTTTTTTCCCAGAGGTAATTCTTCCACTAGGGCCAAAGCTTCATCAAACCACTCGACGAAAATTTCCCTTGTGACCCATGCCTTACATTAATCTCCAAAACACACACAATTTACTTTCAAAACCTTTTTTTTCTTGGGCATACTGGATTTTTAGAATGGGACACTAGTAACGGGTCACTTTTAAATCCCCACTAGCATTAGCACAGAACATTAGCGTCAGCCTGTCTTCATAGGCTTTGCCCGGCGGCCTTTTTTTCCGAGTAATGAGTCCCTTTGGCATTTTTTTCCAAAAGGACCTGTTTCGTCACAATGAACACTGTTCAGGTTCACTTTTAGCCTCTATGACTCCTTGAGTTCCGCACATATTTTCAGCCACTTTTTGGGCCAATGGGGACCTCACCATGCCTTACACACTGTGATCTAGTACACCTTCTTAAATCTCTCGAAACCACCTTTCTGGCCTTAAATTACTCACATCACCATAGTTGCAGGCAATTTCTTTACCCAAAACGCATGCAATGCCTACCTTTTTACAAAAAAGCAACGCATAAGACTATCTCCGCTAATTGTTTCTCGTTTTTTCCCACCAATAATAACTTCTCAAACTTTGAGTACTGGTGATCTCATTTTTGTCAGCATATTTACCCCCCTTGCAACAACCATCCTTGATTTCCCTTTTTTTTGGCTATAGGAAGATATGGTTGTAGGGGTTTTTTATAAAACCAGCCAGTTCACCCACACTACGCCACTATCATATTTTCAATGATTTTTTTTTAAATTAGTGTATTTTACCCTTTTTTACCAAAAGGGTTGGGACTAGGAGCTTTCTTTGGAGCCATGGTAGCTTATTTAGCACTTAAATAACTTGCAAGCACTAAAATAAATGGAATACAGAGTGGACCCCCGGTTTACGATATTATTTCATTCCAGAAGTATGTTCAGGTGCCATTACTGAACGAATTTGTTCCCATAAGGAATATTGTGAATTAGATTAGTCCATTTCAGACCCCCAAACATACACGTACAAACGCACTTACATAAATACACTTACATAATTGGTCGCATTGGGAGCTGATCGTAAAGCGGGGGTCCACTGTATTATGAAATATTTCGCTGGAGCATGTGAGGGGACCGTCTCTCACTGGTAAACAATGGCACACTGGCTGGGAAGGGAAGGCCCAGGCGGCTCAGAGCGTGAGTACGCGTCCGGGACGAAGGACTATTAGCGAGTTACTGGACCATTTGCGAGCCAATATTTAGACAAAATAACAGGACTACAGTATTTCCGAAATGGACGACTTTCAGGCCGGACGATTATTGAGGGGCCACTGTACTGTACAGTCAAACCCCCAAATTCACCAGCTTTCTAAATTGGATGTTGCAGTTAGAGTATCTAACTCTTTGCCGATGAGCCTCCAGTGAGTAGCCTTTGTTATCTGAGATTTTTTTTACTGCCCATTTTTTTTGTATTTGGTGCATGACCCTTAAATTGAAAACAATCCATAGGATTTAATTTGAAAAGTACCTCATGGATTTGTCATATCCAAATTTCTTACCAGCTCTCTTAATCAGATCAGAGCAATATTTAAAAATATTTGTCCTCTGAAACAAAATGAGCCTAAATCTGAAGCAGAAGTTTGTGGTATTTGCAGGGGATATCCAGGAGTTTAAATTCTTTGAATTTGTGAGTTCAGATGTACAGTACTGTACATGTATGAATAACCATGCTCATAAGACATACAATGTAGGGCACATTTTATTGTGAAGCTGTTTCATTCACCAGGGACTTTATCAGTTCATTCACACAGGAGACCAAGACATGGGTATTTATGGGGTTGGAGAGAGGCTCTGAGGTGAAACAATGAGGTCAAGGAGTTGCATGTGAGTAGCCAACCTCTGCAATTACAGTGGAACCTCAGTATGTGACCTTAATTTATTCCAGAAGGCTGTTCAAGTGCCGCTTCGTTTGAGTATCGAACATGTTCTTCCCACCCAATTTTCTGTTTGCTTGGCTGTTATCACTAATCTTCGTAGGCCCCATGGTGACTTATATATTCAAATAAAAAAAAAACACCAATAAATGTGAAGAAACACGAAATAGTTTACAGCAAAGTTCTGGCAGGTCATATTTGTTTGGTCGAGTGCTGAGCTTTGTTCGAGTAGGGAGCTGGTCATATGCTGAGGTTCCACTGTACTCCTGTCTTGTTCTTTATGTGAATTGATAAAGTCCATGGTAGACAGAATGTCTTCACAATATAATGCCATAGCCTATATTTTCTCATATTTCATGTTGTTGGTATCTGCCATTGTGTTACCATGAGTAACCATGTTTAATCATGATGTAGTTTTGTTAATGTATATTTCTAATTTCAGGATCACAGCACTCTGACATTATGAGTGAGTTCAAAATTCATCACCATGTGAGTGAACTGTTTTCTCTTTTAGGGTAAGTAGAAAACTAATGAAATAGCTGATAATGCCATCCATAGTAATCTATTTTGGAATTTATAGAGTAGTGAGTATTGGAAGAAAATTAGTATGTATGAAGGTACAACTGCAATACTGTAAAATTTAAAGAATTTTTGTCAATCATTTGATGTATAATAATAATAATAATAATAATAGTGGTAAAAATTACAGTAAACAGTTTACAATATAAAGTATAATTGAGTATTTTAAACAATGAAATTTGAACATTTCAATTATGAAGCATTATAGTTGTACAAATCTGTAGCATTACAATTAAAAACATAGTTTGATAGGGTCACGGGTTATACATTTATGAAATACAGTTAAAAATACTGTAGGTAAGTAACTTGCATGTAGCCTTTTTATTTTTTTAATATGTATAAATATTTTATTCTGGAATGGTAGAGAATCTTTTTCTGAAGGTAATGACACTAAAAGTACAAAATTTACTCAGGCACAAAATTAGCGGTTTACATGCAATACTGTATACAGTAGGGTCCCACTTATACGGCAGGTTAGGTTTCAGGCTACTGCCGGAAAGCAGACATCGCCGGAAAGCAGAACACCATTTTTTCCCACTTATAAATGCATATAAACGCCAGATAAAAAATTTACACTAACATATATTACGTTAGCAATAGAACTAGGCATTAAAGACAATAAAAAGTAATGTAGGGTGATAGGCAAGTTTTATTTGTAGGAAGTCAGGTTTGGGATGTATTGTAGCCAGCCTGGTGATCCCACCCCCACCCATAACGTAATACATTACAACATTTAATTAAAGCACCCCAGAGTGATAAAATACATATACAGTACATTCATTAATTACCTTCAGATATTTGTAGTCTAATGTAGGGTGAGAGGTGAGTCTTATTTGTAGGAAGTCAGGTTTGGGAAGTATGGGTAGCCAGGAAGGGCAGCCCTCCCCACCCCACCCACATAATGTAAACAAACCAGACAAACACGTTTGGTTTTCGTCACTTTACATTGTGTACAAGTTGTCTCTGCATTGATATAGTAGAATAAATAAAGAGAAACACTCCCATTCTCATGTAACACCATTTTTAGAAGAAATGATGCCCTGAGTGAAGGCATATGAAAGGAATATTATAGTGTACACATTTTTCTCTGATGTTGGACTACAAGTTGCCTGGCTGCCACAAGTCCTACAAGTCATCTGGCTACCACAAGTCCTACAAGTCGCCTGGCTACCACATCTCATTTTTTTTTTTCAACAAACCGGCCATATCCCACCAAGGCAGGGTGGCCAAAAAGAAAAACGAAAGTTTCTCTTTTTAAATTTAGTAATTTATACAGGAGAAGGGGTTACTAACCCCTTGCTCCTGGCATTTTAGTCGCCTCTTACAACACGCATGGCTTACGGAGGAAGAGTTCTGTTCCACTTCCCCATGGAGATAAGAGGAAATAAACAAGAACAAGAACTATAAAGAAAATAGCAGAAAACCCAGAGGGGTGTGTACATATATGCTTGTACGTACATGTATGTGTAGTGTGACCTAAGTGTAAGTAGAAGTAGCAAGACGTACCTGAAATCTTGCTTGTTTATGAGACAGACCAAAGACACCAGCAATCCTTCCATCATGTAAAAAATTACAGGCTTTCATTTTACACTCACTTAGCAGGACAGTAGTACCTCCCTGGGCAGTTGCTGTTTACCAACCTACTACTTAGACCACATCTCATATTTACGTTAATTTATTCTGTGGGGTGTATTTAGATGGATTAAGCAGAATGTCTATATGTATTAACATTTTATACGATATTTAATGCTCCTCAGAGTGATTATTATTGTTATTATTATTATTATCATCATTATTATGGCATCTTCAAGACTAATAAGACACTCAGTGATTTTAATGTGTACCCCATGCCAGCATAGTGTGTAAATTTACTTAGGTACAGGTACACATATGTATAAGCATCAGTTATATTAATGTAGGTATGTAGTCTGCCTGCGCTACGTACCTACACTTACCAACAGAGCTACACGACATTTAATGTGGCCCAGAGCCATATTTTTACCATCGACATACCATGTTCACTGAGTTTAATCATTTATAACAGTTACCTTTAGATGCCAACCTAAACAAAGGGAGAAGTAATGAATAATTCATGCCGAGAATTGTAAACAAAAGCGTTATGTATTAAGGGGAGTGACGTAATGTTTTCCCGTCGCCCAGCTACCACACCTCCATAGTATATAAACATAAAACGTTTATATGCTATGTAGTAATGTGTTTCATATATAATTTTTAAGAAAATATCATAGATGGATTAATGAAATTGTGTATATTAACGTAAAATAAGACATTTAATGTGCCCGAAAGCGGTTATTATTAGTATTACATAATGTTTTCCCTCCACCTGGCAACCACACCTCCATAGCATATAAACAGCATGTTTATATGCTATGTAATGTGTTTCTTATATAATTTTGAAGAAAATGTCATAGATAGATTAATGAAAATGTCCATATTGACGTAAAATAAGACATTTAATGTGCCCAAGAGTGATTATTATTACATAATAGAGAGATGTGCTCACGGGGAATGTAAACAAACCGAGTGGTGGGCACTGTATTTGAAAGACCATTCGCTGTATAGAAAGTTTTGGTCATTTGAAATTGCCGTATTAGCGGAACACCAAAAAGCTGGGCCCTACTGTACGCATTGGTGATTTCGTTGACTTTTAGTCCCATTATTGAGTTTTTTATTCGTATTTTGCATAGATTCTCCTGTTCATATTTCAAGTGTAGTTGAAAAATTATTGTCATCAATTAATTTATTAAATTCACTTGATATTTTAATTTCATTATATCCACTGTGTTTTATGTGAAGTTGATGTTGAAGTAATCATTTTTGGTCATTTAGGGATTAGCATTTTGAAGCCAATTCTATTGCTCCATTTGACCAAATTCTTTGCTATTTTGCTAGTATACCTTTCATTTTATCAGTTGAGCACAAGAAACCTCCCTTTCTGTTATAATATTTATCCTATAAAGTGCAAAAGGGCACTAAAACAGCATTTCCCCTCTTCATTGATCACATCCCCAGGTGTCTCCAATATTGCACTTGCCTAACATGTTGATTTCATAATCCCACAAAAACAGAAGATTTACTCTATTTCTGCGATAAGAAAATTTAACCAGGAATGATTGGTCATAATTTACTCTATTTAAACCATACATTGTCAGAGTTTTGCTTTTCCCATCATGGACCTTGTGGGGCAGAATTTTTTTTAATACTGTGCGTACTCTCTGCACATACCCATTCTCTTATATCTAGGCCAAAATTTACTGCTCATAGCTTATCTCAGTAAGTTCATGATGCAGAACTACCTGAGGGACCCTGGCCTCAATGATGTAGTTCTGTGTAACAACCACTGAAAGGGTTAATCACTGTGTAGTGCATTGCAATGTATACCTGAGACCTTGCTGTGCTGCATATATGCAGAGTTATACAGTTGACTTGCACGATGCTATATAAGGTCCTCAAAAAACAGAATGCTGTATGAAAGCAGTGTTATTTGAACTAAACATCTTGGGTGAAAAATATGGTGCAGTCCCAAGCTAAAAAATAAGTGTTTTGTTTTTACAAGACTGCCATACTCAAAATACATGATTTATTTCACATGGTAGTGGTGGTGACTTCCCAAAGACAAATTCTCTTTTTACAGTTGGCACACACGTAGAAAACGAAGTGGTAATTTCATAGATGATGATAGAGGTGTTTGCTGAGGTGGTGCCCATGGTAGTGATAGAAGTGTTTGTTGGGGTGGTGTCCATGGTAGTGGTAGAAGTGTTTGCTGGAGTGGTGCCCATGGTAGCAGTAGAAGTGTTTGCTGGGGTGGTGTCCATGGTAGTGGTAGAAGTGTTTGCTGGGGTGGTACCAGTGGTAGCAGAAGAGGTATTTCCTGGAGTGGTACCAGAGGTTAGCAGAAGAGGTGTTTGCTAGGGGTGGTACTTGAGGTAGTTACAGCTGTATTCTCTGAGATGTTGACTGAAGTTGTTGCTGTGATGATATTGGAGTTAAGGAATTGTGTGAATGAAGACTGATGGAACTTGGAGACTGAGGGGGGCACCTACTTGACTGCAAGTTGAAATCTTCAGTGCATTTCACTGTGGAGAACAGCCATTCTTCATTTATCTTGGATCTTATGCTCTGCTCCATTCATAGATTCACTTGTAATTATCCAGAATATTATGGAATTCACTCATCAACACTTGGCAGATTTTGCAGATTAAATTTCTTATTTCATCCTTCAATAAGGTTATCTTGAAGAATTTATCCAGATTAGCAACCATAAGGATGATAACCCTGGATAACCTGAGAAAACCAATCAGTGTGGATTTTTGAGATTGGGGTCTTTTGTAAGTTTTCTCCCAGGATGAAACCCACAAGATCCATTAACTGCTAGGTGACAAGACAAGGGAGCAGCAAGTGTTAGATGACTTGCCCATACATCCCACCATGTTCAGCATTTAGCCCTATATACAGCCTCTCTTCACTTAGCGACGTACTTGCTTACCAACGCCTTGGACTTACGACGGGCTCTCTGACCATTATTCATACCTAAATAATGTATATTAGAGATGATTTCCTCTATTCTGTTTATTTCATTATACCATATGCTACTGTATAAACATTTAAAAATACAGTGGACCCCCGCATAACGATTACCTCCAAATGTGACCAATTATGTAAGTGTATTTATGTAAGTGCATTTGTACGTGTATGTTTGGGGGTCTGAAATGGACTAATCTACTTCACAATATTTCTTATGGGAACAAATTCGGTCAGTACTGGCACCTGAACATACTTCTGGAGTGAAAAAATATCGTTAACCGGGGGTCCACTGTATACTAGAAATGTTATAAATGGTGCAAAGGTGACATTAAAACAATTTCAAAGATAGTTGACACAAACTCACTACCATTATAGTATGATCCTCACTTAG